ACATCACCAAACACATTGTTAACTATGATAAAGGAAACAAGTTTAGATATCATTCTAAATTCTCTAAGTTTTTATTTTATTGCCTAAGCGTAAAATATAAATTATTAAATAAAGATGACATTTAATCTCAAAAATTCATAATCATTTAATAGTTTATATTATATACTAAAACTAATTCTTCAAATTAGTTTTAGGTAATATGTGTTAAATGAAAAAATTCTACATAGAAAAAAAAAAGAAAAAAATGTCTTTAAATATAGGGTCCATTATTTTACAATGAAAAATGATTTAGAAATATTTTTTTCTATTTTTTTATATAATCTTAAGTGTTATTTAAATTATTAATTCTTTTTATTCATTTAAAATATATGATATTGAGCATATCAACTAATTTAATGATATGTAAAAATTGTATAAAAAATAATATTAAAAATTTATCCATATAACATCACCCTTTGATAATTTAGAATCTAAATTGTTTTGAATTGTAATATAAAGACATTTAAATAAAAGAAAATCTCCCATATCAAAGTATCCCCTTTAATTTAAAAAACAATATTTTCTAATCTAAAATAAATTTTCGTTAAATATAATAGTGTATAAATTAGAATAGTGCTATAAGAATAATTTTTTATACCACACTTTAATATAATTTTTATATGTCATTAGATAAATAGATGCATTCAATATCACGAGTTTTATATGAATTTAAAAAATTAATCATTTAAATAATACGTCAAATTGTATAAAAAAAATAAAATAAAATAATTACATAAAAATCATTTCCTTCGTAATTATTTCCCTCATTATCATCAATTAATATAGATTCATTGTATTCAAACTTAAGCCAACCACTCAATTGGCCGATGATAATTCAGTTCCACGAAAAGTCGGAACCCATTCCATCAATCAAAGATGCTGAAAAGCATAACAATCTATAAGAAGATTGATTAAACATCATCTAAAACTTAATTATTGGGATCGATTCTTCCATAGGGAATGATATATGCTATATGCCACACTTCCTTTTGCCCCCAAATCGGCTTTGAATAGTCCAATCTTGTATCTTTAAAGATAAAATAGCATAAATTCAAGTCTCATTCATGTTACTTTAGACTTCTAGTTAAATCCTTTTTTCTAGCTCACCCATCCTTCAAGCTAAAACAATGCTCTCACCCAACAAACCCATGATGAGAAATGGGAAATAATAATAGTAGGTTTTTTTCTAATAAATAGGAGCTTCCAAAGAAGAAAGGACACATAAACAGAATTGAACCACTTTGGTACTTGCAGACTTCAGTGCTGCATGGTCCACAATTAGGGAAAAATAAACCACCCAGAAAATGCTTTTTTCTCTGACATGGTGTACACATGAAACAAGTTACAATCTTCATCTTCCAAAACAGAAATTGGAAAACAGTTCCCGGAAAAAAAATGAATTCTTAAAACCAGGCAATGAACTATTAAAGTCAGTTGCAGTGAAACGCAGTTTAATTCAATCTACAAAATGATGAAACTTTTAGCGGTCTACAGTAGAATTCAGTTGAAAAATCAAAAACCCAGCTCCAGATCCATGTGAATTTCATAAATGCTTGGTGGGAATGTTTCATTTATGCGTCAGAAACCACGCTGAACTCGTCATCTTCCATCGGAGCTGGTAAATTTAGATCGATCGGAGACTTTTCCGGCTGGGTTGAAGTTGCAGTTGCAGTTGCTGGGTTTGATGGAAGCATGTGAGATCTCTTGTGTCCACCAAGGGCTTGGCCTGACCCGAACACTCTGTCACAGAACGGGCATTGGAATGTCAGCTTCTTCACCTGGTCGGAGCAAATCCTCTTGTGTCCGCCCAATGCGGTGGGAGATCGAAACGACATGTCGCATTTCTCACACCGGTACCTCCCGCGATTCTTGCGCAACTTGATCTCCGCCGCTTCTGGGTCTTCTTCTTCTTCTTCCTCCCCCTCCTCCTCCTCCGCCGTCTCCATCTTAACTTCTTTGACCTTCCAAACATCCCTTGAAAGCATCATGAGACACATGGCAACATCTTCCTCCGGGGAAGTATCGGAGATAGAACTCAGCGGTTCCGGCTCCAGTGGGAACTCAGCACAACTGGGTTTCATCGACTTCAGTTTCTTGACTTCCAAATTCTGCTTCCGACCCTCCGGGGTAACCGGTTTCCGATTCCTCCTTGATCGTTTACGAGTTGGGTTTCTCGACTCAGTCTCGCTCTCTCGGTCTTGAACAACGGACCCAGAATCTAGTGCGAAAGAGAACTCAGGATCTGCAAACCTGAAACTTTTCTTGGGATTCTCCCTCAACCCATAAACCAAAGCTTTCTCTTCCAGAACTTCCCTGCTCTTGCTTTCCTGCTCCTGCTCCTGCTCCTGCTCTTGCCCTTGCTCCTCCCCGGAAGAAGACGACGAAGAAGAAGCAGAGTCATCATCACCACCACCACCACCACCGCCGCCGGTCTTGGGAGGAAGGGGAAGAGTGGCGAGATGGGCCTTCATGTGACCCCCTAAAGCTTTGGCATTGGCAAAACCCCGACCACATAGCTTGCATTTCTGCCTCTCCATTGACAGAAACAGACCGAACAGCGCAGAAGCAAAGGAAGCAAAGATCAAAACTTTATTTTTTTTTCCTCTTCAATTTTTCTCTCTCTAAAAAAGCATGAGTTGAGTAGCATAAAGAGATTGGGAACTTAAAAGGAGTAGGTGACAAGCATTCCTCCACCAAAAGACACACACTACCCAAAAATTTATATAATTTATTTTACATAAATAAATATGAAAAAACAGTTGAAATTTAGGGAAAAAAATAATCTTTGTTATTAATTTTAATTCTTTAAAAACCCATAAAAAAATGAAATTAAAATTGTGTGATGATGAGTTGAGGACAAAAGGGACAGGTAACATGCAAACCTTGCTCATCTTGGTGTGATACGCTTTTCTCTTTTACTATCTTATGGAACTCCATAAATAAACAGTTTGGCAATTTTAGTTTTTTTTTTTTTTTTTTCTCTAGATAATCCATTTCAATTTTATATGTTGACACCATTATCTTTCATTTTTGAAAATCAAATGATCATCTAATTTGAAATTATTTGAAATTATTTGGGCAGATTTTGATTTTTTTTTTCCCTTTTATTTTCTTCCTTAGCCATTTTGATCCAATGAACCAACTCTTTTCATGCCACCAATAATTAACATAATCTGCTTAATCATACCATTATTTTTAGTATCTTATTGCTATATATCTATTAGTAGAATACATGTTCATATCCAAATACATTTGTCAAATTGCCGTTGTGTTTGATTAGTGAGTGAGAATATGATGATAAGTAAGACTAATTGAGGCTAGGTGGGGAGAAATTGGTAAATTCAGTGTGACTAGCTTGGACAAGACAAGAAAACTGTTGGGTTGGTTCCAGCGACAGCTAATGGCCTAATGCGACATGGGATGATAAACCCTACATGTGCCTGTTCATATTTCTGAAATTTTAGAACTTAACTAAGGATGTTGAACAATTTTCAATGAATATTATTATCAGTACTAAATGCTCCAATCTGTATGAGTTTTGAAATCGGACTTAAATACACACACAAATTGATAGAATAATACATGATGTTGGTGTTTCGAAGTTTATGATGTAGTGACTGCAAACATTTTAACTTTATGATTAATAAGATTTGTTATTAAATTTAAAAAATTTATTAATTATGAGGATTTTTTTTTGTAATCTATTATATGTGAATTGTAAAAAACTTTTTCAATAATTTATACACAAAGAAAATGGATGTTCTACCAATAATTTGTTGATTCGAGTGGAATAAGTTTGACTTCCTTAAGTAAGATCTCGAGTTTGAGTAAGAGTAGAAGGAGTTTGATTTCCTTAAATAAGATCTCGAGTTTGAGTACTGTAAATGGAGAAACGAGCGTTAAGAGAACTTTCACCTAATGGGTCCAACATAATTCAATTTTAAATTAGTCGAGATTCAATGTAATTACTGGATATCGAGATAATAATACCAAAAAAAAAAAAAAGAAAATTGAGGTTCTTATGAAGAGAAACTTAAACCGCAAATAGTGGAGCAAAAAGGAAGCAAAGAATCTTTGATTGTAATTCAGTTTTAGCTGTCCTAGTCGTATGCCCACCCTTTTGGGTCTGTTTTGACATTTTGAAAACTTCCCTTCTTATGAACACATTAATTATTAGTGGTTAATCCGTCGGTGCTTCACTCCTATCTCCTTGATTTAGATTCCTCATCTATTTTTGTAGTAAAGCAATCTTCAAGAATTGCCATTTTTGTTACCAGTAGTTGATTTCATTCTCTTGGAAATGCAACAATGTTAGACATCTTTTAAGGTTTTAATGTAACAACAAACCCCTGAGAACAGCAGCAGGCTGCACCAATAACATGATATCGTCCAAATTACAAACACTATTTACATTTTAGGCAAAAACCCATCTTAAGCCCCTCAACTTTTTCGACAACAAGTGATAAGCCCCTGAACTAAAAAAGTGGCAAATAAGCCCTCCAACGCCACGATGGGTGCAAATCAGCCCTTCCGCTAACTGGCTTCCTGACGCCGTTTGTCATCGGCTTGCGTGGCACTGCACCCGCG